TAAACTGAATGTATACCAGAGAAATCACTCATTCCATACCAATGTGCTCGATATATTGATGAATAGCTTTGATATTTCACGTCTTCCATTCCCCAGCCATCAAGTACAATGGCATGCTTTGGTGGTTCTGTGTCTGAGAAGAGTGCTTGTGAAGATCCACTCCCAACCAAACCAGCTCCATTTGAAGCAAGGACTGTAATAAAGTATTTTCTATTGTTTTCAAGTTTTGTAAATCTTTCCGCAGTCCAGTTCATAGCAAGATTGTATGGTGGCCGTAAAACTTTGATATCTTTAGAAGCACTCACATCATCTGCTCCTGGATAGCTGCCCACGTAGACTTGAAAGCCGAAGACCCGAGACAAATCATCCTCCAACTCAAAATACGCTTGAAATCGGTACTCATGGTCTTTGGTATACTTGATTGTCGTACCTTGGTGTCCATGTTGAAGGTTGATGATCTTTACAGGGCTGCTGTCCACAATGAAAGTGTTGGATAAGCCATCTGCTGCCATCCCAGCTTTATCTTTTGCTCTTACTGCAACGGTATAAACGCCATCTTCCAAATCAATCGATCTCCCGCTCATTTGAACTTTACCGACTTCAGTAAAAGCATATAGAAATTCCTCACTGGAAAATGTGCCTACTGACAGCCCAAAACTAGTTATACCAGAGTGCACATCATAGAACGTATTTTTTGCACACTTCGAACGATCAATTATTTCAGTCGATCTATTCTTGTCTTCGGAGCACCAGTTCCATCGAGCCCAAACGGATTTAGTAATCCACTGGAAGACAACAGGTGGTCCAGTATAGCCGGTAATCACTAAGCCAGTGTGGGGTGGTACAAAATCAACAACGGCGCCGTTACTACTTCCATTGATGCACATCTGCACTCCATTACAACCGACCACTGTAACATAATACTTTCGACCAGCATCTAGTATCAGTCCCCTTAACGTAGCCTTGGTTGCCTTTCCAATTTTTGTCAGTGCCTTGACGTCGGTAGCTCCAGGAGCGCTACCCAGTCCTATAAGAAACTCAGTCATATCACTTTCTGCATCGACAAAGGCTTGTTCCCAATGAGCACTGAAGCTAAATCGTTCTTTGGTATGGTTTACGTCTTTTCCTTGGAAGCCGTCTTTGATATACTGCAAAGCCACAGACGGAGGAGTTGTGTCTATTAGAATACCATCAGAAGTTACCGTTCGACGAAGTCCGACCCCGTTGTAGGCCTTGATAGTAACATGGTATCGTATTTTTGGCTTGACTTCAAGATTGACAACCTTTGCAAAGCTGGCGTGCCCCAACTGCACTATGCTAGTGTTTTGCATGTTTTCAAACAGTTTGACATCATCGCCTCCCGGGTAAGTCCCAACAGCAATGAATTGCTTTGTAATGCCACTTTCTTGATCCATGCAGCTCCACTTTGCTTGTATACTTTTTAGTTGTCGCACAAAATCAACATCTAAGCTATCGTTAATGCTAACAACATCCAGCACAGACTTACAAGTTGGACTGGTGATGTCAGCAAAAAATCCATTGGATTCTTTTGTTGTCTGCAATCCGGCAGAATTTGTTCCGCGCAAAACAAGATTATATTTTTGCCCAAGCTGAAGATCAAGATTTTCCATAAGTGGTGTCCTTTGGGAAAGAAGTATGTTAACAAATGGAGTAAGATCGATGGATTTAACGCTGATGTATTTCACAATTTTCCACTCATATTTGACCAATGGGCTTTCTCCATCCGTAAAAGACTCGAATGTTGCACGTACTCGTTTTGTCGAAGGCATAAAATCAACATCTGTTTCTCCTGCTCCGTCATAGAAACGTCCAGCGATTGGAGGGGTTTTGTCTATAGTAACTCCATCACTACACACTATGGTCCTCAAACCGGCAGAGTTGGTAGCAATGATTCTTGTGTAGTATTTAAAACCATGATTTAGTTTGAGTCCTGATGTTTGGATGGACTTCGTTTCTCCCACAGGAGCCAAGCCATAAATGTCTAATTCTTTTTCATTAAAAGTGCATTTCGAAGAGCTGGAGATACCCCATTTGACGTCAACTATTTTCTTTTTGTTCCATTGTTCTTCTGCATTGTTCCACTCAAAATTGAGACCAATGACGTAATCGTCAGATTGGAAGTCTTTATCTACACCGATCTGAGATCCATCGTACAAAAAGAGAATTTGTGGTCCAATTCTTTTAGCTCGAAAGACAGGACAAAGAGACAAACTACTGTCAAGTCCTTCATCGTTTGTGGCTCTTACACTTGCGAAGACATCTCTTCCGTCCATTATCGGGAGATCTCTGACCACGACACTAAGTACAATGCCAACGTTTGCCCCATAGTCATCACCAGATCCCAATATAGATCCAATCTTAACCCAGTAATGATTTATATGTGTGTCTTCTTTGAAACCATGCCACTGAACAAAGTACGCTTTGTCTCCGACTTGTCTCGCACTGCACGTACCAGCTACTGGTGGTGTTCTGTCGAAATCTTTTTTGCAAGTTTTAAAAAGCTGGCGTTCGATTGTCCTCGCAGACCACGACCACTCAGCAAAGGTATTCTTACTGCACCATTTAATTATAGGTAAAACCCAAATGATTCCGGTCCGAAGCGTTATGGAAAGTCTGAGACGATACCACAAATACACTCGAATCTTTAAAGGAGTCATTTGCATTTTGAGTTCGATGCATGCTTTAAGAGGCCACTTGTCTATCTTTACTGTTAACTCTGGGATGAAATATGTCTCAAGCAGAATCGCTTCGAATGTTACTCCTGCTTCGACAATAAGGAGAGATATACTAACGCCAAAATTAACTCTTATCCAAGCACCTGGAATAATCCCCATTTTAAACTTCTTGTCTTTCACGCATACTGTGCCATGATAGTCCAAAACCCAATGTCCTCCAGCACCGGCGTGTAGCTTTATTGGTATACCGAACACAGGGAGGAATTGCTCAAAGTCAGGCATAAACTTTTGATGTCTTTTTATCAAATTTTTTCGGAATGGTGCCATGCATGAAGATACTTCTCCAGAGTTTCTCTTTGTTCTTCTGTGAACTTCTTCAAGCTCTTGTGAGTAGACATCGGACTCCAGGAGCTCGTTCTGTATACTTCGTTTGCGCAATGCACCACAACGCAAATCACCGATAGGGAATAATCTTCGGGGAGAGATAATCCACTCTCCCATAACCTTTAACATGACGCAGTTCTCTGTAATGTCAAGCGTCATCTTAAGAATAGGGAGTTTCATACGGAAGTACCTGTCTTCAAAGTCACCTCCAATACTCTCAATCTTATCCTTTTCGCTGTAGGTTCCACTTGAGAATGCGATGACCAAGCGATCGTTGCTCACCTTGTCTACTGATTCTAGACCAAACGGCGTGCGTACTACCCTAGATAACGAATTCTCGCTCAGTTCATGTCCATCCGTAAGATCGTGGAATTCAAGCTTGCATTGATACCCCGCCCGAGCCACACATCGCGAGACGACTGCATACTCTGTACTGAACTGCCTTACTATGGCCATACCCTGGGCATCTTTACCAATGACTAAAACCTTGTCTGGAGCTAGTCCAGCTGATAATAAATTCCCTAACGCTGTTAGGTGATAGCCATAGCCTTTCCCTGCGTTACCATCCGTAATCCATAGCATTTTCGTCTGTTCATCAAAAGAAACAGACGTTCCAATGCCTTCAACAGAGTAAGATTTAGCAATTGGAATCCATGAGGGAGCAGCAGATCCCATTTTTCCAGTAACTGATTCTTTACTAATACGATGGACCTTGTTAGACTCCCCATCGCTTATCCATATGCTATCTTTAGCAATAGTAATCCCACCAATTGCGACCGTGAAGGGAGACTGAGGACTTCCTAACTGGATGATTTTCTTTACAGAATTTCGTCCAAGATCTGTTACAACCAATAACGATGCTTTTCCTTTGCTCGATGATACTCCGTGCAGACCCAATAGAATCTCCGAGTTAGAGAGTTGAGTGATGCCTTCGACTTTATAATCGTCAAACAGCCCCGGTGCGAGCCACCGACCACTGTCCTTCATAGATGATAGGTCATCCAGATGAGGAAACTTCCAAGTGAAGATCGTCTTATAATACAGCGATGATGACCTTCTAATGGGTCGCAGGCAAACATCAGCTGAGCAGTATGGATACTCGCTCCACTCCTTATATTGAGACAAGTCGAGACCCCTTTGACGAAGTTGGATTTTGTTTTGAAATTCAGTTACTTTGTTGAAAAGCCCGTTGATCTTATCAGTGGCTTTCTTAACTTCACCAATGTATTTGGACATGTACGGTTTTATGAAATCCCTAAGCTCTCCGGTGTCTATGAGTAGTTTTAAAACTGGACTCGAAAATCCATTTGTAATTGCAGTCATTTTCGTTGCGTAGTCCGATGATTCCTTGAAGAGATTGCCCAGACCTTGAAGGATAGCGTTGGCATTTTTGGTCTTCGTCCAAAGTTCATATGACGTATTGACTTTCTTACTGAGATCTTCTATCTTTTTAATGTGATCTAAGATCGGATTGTCGTAGAGGGACTTCATTGATTTGAACGTATTTTTCAATGTTTCTTCAAGCTTTTGCCTCGTCACCTCTGCTTTTTGAACGTAATCCATGACGAGTGTGATTTTAACGTTCTCATCTTTAATACTTATTTTTGATCTAACATGCGGATCTCCACTAGGTTGAGCAAACGTTTGCCCTGTTATATTCATCAGCATATACTTAATATTTTCCGAGTTACTTTTAAAGTTAAAATCGGTTGTTTGTTGAATTAACAACTTGACAGTACTTATGACTTCAGTGATGTTATCCAAACCAGATCGACAGGTACCAAGCATATCAGTATACCCTTCAGCCTCTTCATAACTTTTTGTAACCTTTTCGACTTTTTCTTGGATAACTTTGGCTTGATCAATAAATGTCCTTGGAATACAAGCACTTCCTTTTATGCATTTCTGAATCTTCAGGCTTTTCCACGTCTCAGGGATCATGTCGTGTAAGATTTTCACTTCTTTGCGCATGTCTTTGTATTTATCAATGGTATTCTTTCCAACAACCATCGCTTTCTGGACACAAGGCTTTGTACTTTCAATTAGAATTTGGACAGCTTGCTGACAATCCGGGAGTTTGTGAATAGTGGCCAAAATCGGAGAAAAGTTATTGCTGAATGGCTTTAGATTTATCATTACATCGATGACGTTATTCACCATGACAGATATTTCCTTCAAGTCCGTTCTGATTTCTTCGATTGGTTGCTTTATTCGGCGGAGCTTAGATCCTGCTGTTGTGATAAGTTTTTCAGCTTCCTCGGTGAAAAACTCGTTTACTTCATGAGCGATATCGTGACCACCGATTTTGTTCAGCGCTTCATCTGCCATTTTCTTGACCTTGACACAATATTCATGAACTTTCTGATCATAGCTCACACGAAACTCTTTTTTTATGTCGAGTTTCTCGATATCGTCCTTGAACTTTTGTGCACTTCCAGAAAATTTAATTATATCGTCTGTACTTTCACTAGCCTTCTGAGCATAAGCGGGGATGTTCTTCATCAGTGTGAGAATATTATTAACTTTAACAGAAATCTCATGGACTTTCCAAAGAAATCCTTTGTTTGTGTTTAAAATGGACATGAAATCAGCAACAAAGCGAGCGATTTTTGATATTTTTCCAGCTCGAACTTCCATATTCTCTTTGTACCACGCCTCTATATTGTTCACCGCTAGTTTAAGATCTCGTCCAATGCCTTTTATTTTTTGAGAAACAGGACCGATGAAACTTGTTAGCTCTGACAACGCTTGCCTTGAAACAATTTGGACATCATCAATTATTTTTGCTGAAAAGACTTCTGCTTTGTTGCAAACTCCATTAAATTTAGCTGATGTTCCATTTGCAAATTGTATAACTTTATCTGCAAATGACTTGATTTCCTGTAGGCTTTTAGAAAGCTCCTTTAGGGACTTCGACACAAAACCACGAGTTGCTAAAGTGAAGTTTTTCTCGATGTTATCAATTAGTCTATCAACCATCTTAGTGTATTGTACGAGTTCGTTAAGTGCACTTTTAGTTGTGTTGTCGACTGTCTTTAATATTGCTATTCCTTCTTTTTGGATGTTTTCTGAAAATGTTTTAAAATCGCGAGACGAATTTGAAGCAATTTTGTAGACGCTACAAATTTTCTCGGCATTCTTTTTCACAAACCCCTTCATTTCTGGGCCGAGCTCTTTGAAAAAGTCTGTTACATCGCTAATGGCAGTTATATTCGGCATACCTGAATCAATTAATTTAAGAACTTTGTCAAAAAAGTCTTGTAAAACATCAGCTGGACTTCGACCAACAGTAGTTAAATTACCGTTTTTACCAAACAGTTCCGGAAAGAGTTTTGACAGATCCGATGTATTACTTGACATGATATCTGCCAAAAAAAACTGTTCCAGATCAAATGACGATAGCTTAAATCTTTTAAAGAAGTTACTAAGATTGCCAAGGAAATTAACAAATTTCAGGAATTTTGGGTTTTTCAGGTCAAGGTCAAACTTCAGGTTGATTTTCCAATCGAAGCTTAGTCCGAAGTTGAACCATTTTACCGGCTGAAGGGGAAACTTTGCTTCGAGTCTTGGTAGATTCAAACGTGGAAGTCTGATATTTTCAAGTGCATCCAGAAGTGAAGACAAATTTAGAAATTTCTTAGCAAATTCAATAATTTTCATACACATATCAATGAACTTATCCATCGAGAATGAAAAGTGCATTGAAAATCTGAAAGGCATCTGTAGATTAAATCCTTTGGGAACGAAATTCAGTCCAAGGGACTTGAAAAATTCTTTAATTTTGATGTCGTGAAGGTCAATTGATACAGACTTCAGCCATTTTAAGAGATCCTCGATTTTAAAATTTGGTAGTAAGCTATGCGGTAGACGGAGTTTGATGCTGTTGATGATACTCATGGTTTTGTTAAGTGCTCCCATTACATTTTTAAACACGTTGTCGACGACCGTCTGTTTGTTGAGAGTTATTTGAATACCTCTGACGTTCTTCACGAACCACTCCCAGTTTTTCAGGCGTTCACTGACCTTTTTAGCCAGACTGAGTATCTTCTTCATGACATTAATCGGCTTTAATGGTTTGAAGAGGTTTTCGACAAACCTCGTTATCTTCTTTACAAAATCGATTAACCTCTGTACATTCAGTGGGATGAGGGTCTTGAGCTTTTCTTTGAACTTTTCTATGTGCTCTAAGATGATGTTGGTAATTCCATCAACTTTAGAAAAAACAAAGTCACCTGCATCGGCAACTGTGTGGATGAGATCTTTGGGAATGTCATTCTTGAAACTTGCTGAGGCTTTGAAGGCTGCTTTACCTTTGACAATGTCAAAGCCGTATTTCAAGATATAGGCATCTATTTTCGCGTAATTGCTTAAGTCCACCTCGAATTTCCCGCCAAATATTCCTACTCTCAGCTTAACTTGGTTTCGGAATTGAAGGGCGCATTCTGCGCCCAGATATTTACCACCAAATGCTTTTAGCCACCTTCTATTGGGTCCAAGCTCAATCTCTCGTGGCTTAAGATCTTGGATCAAAGCACGCTTTTGCCGTCTTAAAATATGTCTTCTTTTTCTAATATGCTTCACTTTGGGATGTTTGTGATGATTTTCCAGGAACGTCTGCACCGTCTCATCAAGCACATCGTTATCTTCAGCATGCCAAAAAGCATGTTCAAGAGCTTCAACTATTTCATTACTTAAATCCTGATGACGTTCAATATAAACTTCCATCACAGCAGCTTTAACGTCATTTCGCTCATCCTTGAGAAGGGTATTTAACAGAAACTTGTCCACGTGTTCTTCTGGTAATTTACGCATGCCTGACACTACAGCTGACCTGATTCCTGAACTATCGTGGTTTGCATGTTGAAGCATAGTGCTGAGTCCAGAGAGATGCCCAAGATTACCAAAGGCCCATAGATGGTTTCTCAAGAATGTTTCATGCTCTTCGCTTTCCGGATGGTATAAATTTGATTTGTTATTATAACTGCTATGAATCACTTGAATAACGATATCCGATAGCGAGTTATTATATCCAGCAGTCTCTGCCCGTTTTACTAAGCCTGAAAGAACCAACATTGCCATGGGCGACTGGTGTCCATGGTTTCTGTCTCTTTCTGCATGCTGAAGAAGAGCATCAAACAGTTTTCTGTGAAGAGGTCCTTTAGGTATATAGAAAATGCCTTCTAAAAGGGCCTCGTATTCGTCTAGTGTCAGCTTTCGTGGATATTCAGACATTAGGGCCCGGGCGAGTACATCTTGTGAATGTTGACTGCCATGACCTGCTAATACACTCACCAGCACAGACCAGGACGTCACGTTCTGGTGGGTTCTCCCCAAAACCAGATGGCAAATATGTTTAAACACACTGCTATCGTATTTGGCTAGTTTGTGAATCTCCATCACACAATCTCCAATCTGCCTTTCTTTAACAGTTGGATCAGTGAAGCACCTCATCAAGTTATAAAACGGCTTGAAGGTCATCTTTTCACCACCGACGTTTTTCCAATCGATCCTATGAGCGTCTTTAAACACCAGATTATCACGGAAAAGCCCTTGAATTTCTTGCTCGTGGACGTCTCCCATCACTGTTTCCCTTCTAGATCGATGATGATGAGAGTTTGGATAATCTTCACATCCTATTAGATTCAACTTACTGTATCCACTAGTGAGTACTTGAATATCTTGTTCACTCTCTTGGAACTTAGGGCTATTCTCTGCTCTTGGATTACCCTTTGGATTCTCGAAAATGCCATTATGCTCTCGGTGGACTTTGAATATTTGACCATGTCCAATATGTACTGTACCAATATGCTGGGATTGAACTTTGTGTTCTCCTTTCACAGGTGTACCATCGGGCAACAGTAGGTAGTCTTTGTTGGTCCATTCTCTCTGGATTGTAGCATGGGTATCATTTGAGTGTAGAGTTGTGTACTTTGAAAAGTAAACGCCTGAATCGTCGTGTTCTTGAAATTGTCTACGCCTTTTCTCTTCAAGGGATTTCAATTGTACTTGAAATGCCCCAGCTATACCTAAAGTTTTGTTATTATTTTTGTTATAACGTAATTGTAATTACTGTCAACTCTCCTTAAGATATTTTACATACTTTCTACGCTAGACATAATCCGTGGAACAAGCGCATGCACTGGAACTGATTTATATAGTTTATTTAAAGTTTTCGGATCGAATCTTTATACCTGATAAAACACGATCTCGAGTGTTTTTTAAAACGGCTTCAAAAACTCCAACACTAATTTGAAACTCAAATCCGTTAAAATTCTTGGAGTAATTGCCGTACAAATATGTTCAGAGATGAATAGGGCAAACTGATCATGCGCGAATCACTTTACAAAGCACTCTTGTCATCCCACATTGAATACGCATAAAGTAAAATAAAATCGCTCTTGGCTGTTGACTGCAATCGGTTGACATCCTGCATTGGTCAATGATCAGGTTTCAAACCCGAGACCTTTGCTAGGGTCATGGACCTTATCTGATAAAGGTCAGCCTTATTAGTATTCTTTATATAAAGAATACTAATAAGGAGTGTTTTATCAGATATAAAGGTCCATGTATGTGACCAAATAGGCTCATTCTATTGGCCTAATAACTCATTAATTATGTATGAGTTTTTGAATAGTTTTGAGAGATTTTGGAAGATTTTGAATGATTATGGGCACCAGGTTCATGGCTCCAAACTTGGAGTGATGGCTAGTTTACGTGGGCAAACATTGAGTGAGAATTTCATGGTCATAGATCTATTGTTTCCGAAGATAAAGGGGTACGACGATTCCCCATGCAGTCACATATTACAAAAAAAGCCCAGTCTGATTAGTATTAACTTGGATGCAGCCCTCTCTTTCAAGTCATAAGAATGGGCTATGCCCCCTCCTTCTCGATKCTCAACCCCCTCCTGATAATTGWTTCGACTGCAGTTTCTTAAACATTTCCTTGTATGTCTTCAAATGCTAACGTAACAAATCTTACCTTTCTTGAGAGCAATGACTTTAGGAWCATCATATTTTGGRAAGAAAGCATCAAGRACTGAACCATGCCCGTATTGCCGGAAGTAGAATGGMTTGGACAGYTGTCGTTCAAGCTCCTCGTTCACAGGATGAYTRACAAGTACAYGGTCCCCCYGGACTCTTCTCATTCGAGGCTGATAGACATGGAGACGAAGGGTGTGAAGTGSRTTCTGATYGGTTTCYTGTGCRACTGGCGTCACGTCRACCTTGGAAAAATTGAAGGACATTGTTAACTACAGTACAGATACGATAAACTTGAAGAAGGCCAATACTTATATCAACTATCTATTTAAAAAAAGATGAAAAAATAGAGCAAAATTCTGGGGAAATTAGATTATGCCAACGAACAAGTAAGCTAATTTTATTTCAGTGGACAAAATCAAAAGAAAATCCATGCAGAGTCCATAACTCTTTGAACAGCTGCACATATGCATTTCTTTTATTATATATGTCTATTAATATATTCAACACTCTGCGGGATATGTTCATTTGGCAGTTAATCAAGAATTTTATTCTATAAACCTATTGTCTTTTCTAGTACGCATGTTTGGACATGCTATCGAGTAGATCTCTCTCGGCCATGCTATGATGTGAGGAATCGTTCGAATCTGGATCAAAAGCCATACCCGCCCCCCTTCAAACAAACATATTTTTTTTATCTTTTTACACAACTGCATATTTTTGAGACTGTATGTCGTCAGGTCAACCTTCAATTAGTCTAGCAGCCTATTATCGTTTCCCAGCTTCTAGCAGATCTCACTATTAAGTTCCTTCTAGAATTTCTTTGGAGCAAAGGTCCGTTATTGACTGAACCGAGATTCCAGAAACGTCGAACTGGAATTCGAGCTCGAGTTGACATATTCATCGAGTTGGACGTCGAGTTGGACTTCGAGTTAACTTTCATAGATAGCCAGTAAGATAACTCTGACTTTGCAGATATGTTTTAGAATATGCTACAAGGCGGTCCATTTGTATCTCTAGGGGAAAATAGATGCTATGCTAGGGCAGGCAAATTGTTTCATCGGTTCGATCATGATATTAATAGACCTAATCGGCTTCAACCCAATTCAAACCACCCGGGAGTAAGTTTCATTGTTCGTTGTATTTTCATTTCACAGAGTTGAATTCTTAGAAACAAAAGTCTTTTTTTTCCCACAGGATTTGAATTGGGTGGTAACGTACATAGCAACGCCGTTAGCCGATTAGGTCTATAATAATTCTTTATTCCATAAATACCAGAAATTGTACATTAGAACATAAAATTTAACTTTAACAAAAAGATAAACTAGCTGTCTAAATTATTGTACAGATTTAGAACATTAAAACAGTACTTCGCATTAGAGTTATCTTTCATTGACAATATATAAGCAGTGATAACCTGTGAAGGTTTCGAAAGAGTTATTTATGTTGTACAGTCTTTCCAAGAAAGCTTTTCTTAGAATAGCCATAATATTCGTTTCTTGATATTTGTTGGATTTGGATTTTAAAGGAGTTTCTGAACTTCATTTTAGAGGATGTCAAATCTTGTGTTTTCTGTGCGAAGGAGGGATAACAGTTATTTTACATCCTCTAAAATGAAGCCATTTCGTTGTTATAAAAAAACAAACCCACACACAAAMAATAGTCCGAAAGAGGTCCCGGTAGTTTCAAGATTCAAATTTAATATATTAAGAAAGATTTAAAAAAGAATGCAGGTCCGAGCAGTAAATTTTTTAACCATTAGCTGCATAATTCTTACAAACCAGACACACTGGCTGAGTGCTGTCTCATTAACGAAGACTCAGATAAAGATGCGACATTCGTTTGAGATTATAATTACGTTTCCTTGATTTATAAGCTTTCTTTACTTATTTTGCGAATATATATAAACCATGAGTAAAAGAAACTATGCTGATGTCGTTTACGGGAGAGGTAAGACAGAAAAAAATCTTTTCGAATTTTGTCGTTTGTATCTTTCTTAGCTTTCAACATTACAAGCACGTGCATTTTGTCTCTCTGCAGAGTCGCTCACAAGAAACGGAGATGTGGCTTGCTCTAACATTGTATCTGGAAAGAAATATGTRTAATTGAACAACGCTCAAAGCACGCATTACATTTTTTGCCTTACTGCTTATGTAGCATTGGTATTTAACTCAACTCAGCTTTGCAAGCGAAGTCGATCAAACATGTATGTTAATTAGAATGTTATGTTATGGGTCATGTGTTAATTTTTCTGGCGTGCTGCATAATACTTCAGTTTCGTAATCTTATTTGTGCAGTCTTAACCTCGAAACCTGTAACATATTCTTTCATTCAACAGAGAATCTATTTTAATGCAAACACGCTGTGTACAAAAGAGACAATAAAAATTTATGCTTGATTGATGGCTAAGAGCAGTTACGGCACATAAGAGAATTCAAAACTGGAGTGTATTACAATACATGTCAATCAAGTCGAAAGATAGTCTTCTCGCGAGACATTTGCCCACAGTTTTTAAAAGCAATTCGAGAGTCTTTCCTTTCAAAGTTCTGTAATATTTTCAGTTACAGTTTTTGTCATTTTGTAATATTTTTTCTTTATGATTTGTAACATGAACTCGAGGTTCAGCTCAATTATTTCTCTCTTCTGACTGACCAAAAGTATCATTACAATCTTTAATAGTTGTTATTACATGAATATGGGCACTTTCCAATGTATTGGAAAATTCTTAAGGAAATATGAATTCGATTTTCTGAGGGGTGAGAAACGGATGTACACAGGCTATGTAGTATCTTTCGGATGGCCATTGAAGAATTCTTTTAATTGTTTTAACAACCTCTCTGTAAGATACTGCAACGTTGTATAAATTCCGAATCATTCGAATTAAAGGATTCAAGGTCATTTATGAAGGTGAAACAATCTGGCATCTTTTTTGTTGACTCTCCTCTTTCTGATTCATTTACGCTATAAATAGACCTTCTTGCGATCCAGCAGTTTGGTAAACAACTTCCAGACAATAGACACATAGCTAACTTACGTGCTTTAGTCTGGTTTCCTGTGAGTCTTATTTGTAAAATAAAACAATTCAATTCAATTCAATTTTTATTTTACACACATATATACTTATTTTACAAGGAATATTATTAATCTATTAAAGATAATTATGGGGAATTACATGTTTGTTATTGGAGAAAGTGTGCAGTGGCTAAAGGAGCTTAGCTTTCGAGTTAGCCACTGCCTATTGAAAGCGAGCTTAGGGCTCTTATTAAATAAAATACAAACATTAGATTTATAAAAAATAATCACATGATATATATTATAAATTTCTTCAGGAATATAAATATAAATATACTAAAGAAAATAAAGAGGGTTTTACTTTACAAAGCAGCGAAAATAAATTAAATACAAGAGATCAATTTAAAACATCTTCAAACATTCAAAACTCTACTTTAATTATTTACAGAAAATTATATAAAACCCTTCTCTTGGATGCCACAGTATGAGACTATCATTTCTTTGAGTGCCCGAAGGGAAGTGAATTTCTGCCAACTGTTGATTGAATTGGTCTTCTGTTTCTTCAATATTTGCACAGCATGACACTTTATATCATTTTAATGCCCCACGAAGGGCAGCCGAATTCTTTGAATTGTTAAATAATTACAACAGATGAGGTGAGAGAGCGAGTTACTTTTAGTTCCCCATACATTTCTTTTTAATTTCCGGGGTCATCAGCGCGTTACGCGCGTGAAAAATACTGTGTGCAACACAAGACTTTGTTCAGAGATGGACCACTTTCAACAGAAAATCCACAAAATGAAAATACAATGTTTAATCAGGAAACTGAAATTTTAAGTTGAATGAATATGCCGGATCACATAACACCTTAAAACATACTGGTGTAAGAATGTATGGTTGTTGGTATGTTCWCAATGAATTATCAAACCTTTGTAATAATTCACTTCAATAAATTAATGAACAAAAAGTTTCCACGAGAATTTCCAGGCCTCAAAAATTACATTTTGTGTGTTTAAAAGCCATTTTTCTATAAACCACGTTATACGTAATCGAGTCGTCCGCCATCTTAATAACTGATGTATAAATGCTCGTATGTTCACAGGAAAAGTTGATGACTTATTATTAACTATCCCACCTCACACACCTCTCCGTCCTATAACTCTTTGATTGCTTATGCAGTCTCCGAGTTAAAAATGCCCTGGTGCAATTAGGATAGAAACATTTCTAGCTAAAAGAGAAAAATAGAAAAWTGTCTAAAAAGAGCGTAAATTGTGCAGGAATAATAGTATTTAGTSAAAGAATTCCACTAAACTTTATACRAACTTTTAYAATAAATACTGCTTTATTGAATATGCGCACGCATAGAAACAACATAAAATATCTCTGTGCAAAATAGACCTACCAAAGCATGTATTTCATGGCCTTGGCTTTCTGTTGAGTGWGAACCACGAGCGGTGTGAACAGCCACTTGGTACGAGTAGGTACAACGTTTACCTAATTCAAAATTCAGCTGAACAACTCGCTGACTAACGAGAGCTTTCGAGGGACAACACCCAAGTATTGAWAATAGAAAAATTGTACAAAACCAAGGCATTTTGCAGTCTGGAAATCAGGAACTGACGGTGMGTGCAAGTGATGGCAAATGAATCAGTGYTAGTTCAACTAGAGGCGTTTACTAATTCTGGTAAAGCACAAAACGTCTTAACAMTAGCTACTCTCTCACGATGACTTTCCTCTAGTGTAATACAAAACCCTAAAGGACATAGCTAGATGGATGGAAATCTTGGCAAGCAGTCGAGCCTTCATACTTGACAGGTCATGCCTTAATTGCCCATATACAATATCTCATATAAATTGTCGAATTTCTGTGAAAGAGTCATTGAGTAAAGGTCGACGATCACCATTCCTTCATACCGAGAAAAYCAACGCCAAAAAGATTTAAGTTTCCATAATCTTGGGCTATGGTTTTGTTCGTAAAATATATTTGGGTTCTTTTAGTTCTTTCTGTGTTAATACAAGAAAGTTTTGGCTKKTGGTGGAGACGAAGACGACGACGATGTAGTGCAAGAAATTGCCAAGTTAGCTCCTGGTCAAACTGGTCTTCTTGYTCGCKCCGTTGTGGGGTTCAAGGAACTCAGACCAGATCAAGACRAAAGACTGTAGGCCAAACATGTGGCGGTACTTGCCCGTATGCMCTAAKTGAGACAAGGTATTGTACAAGTGGTMSCTGTCATAATGGAGGAACCATAAAGGGGCATTATTGCTATTGCCATACTGGTTATAAAGGATGGTGCTGTGAATATGGTAAGAAAATATTGGATGATTTTCAGTATCCACTAAGTTATAATTATAATGTCATAACAGAAAAACTAGTTTGTCTTTACATTAATCATGAATAAAAAAAACTTGTATCCTCAGTTGTCAATTGGTGATATGTTTAGTTTTAAAATAGCACCTATTCCTTCCAAATTGTTGCTGTATGTGTTTGGTATTCCAAGAGACTTACTCGGCAATTTTCGAATTCAAAGCGATTACATGGTATTTTCTAACGAGTGCAGTAATGAATACAAATGTACAGTGGGGATCACGATATCTGAATACCAAGGCGTTTCATCTTTATCAAAAGACTTTTTGTTGATCAGTTCCTATCACAGTACGACTATCTTAGTATAAAACGTGTATTTTCATGAGTGCAGAAGGGCTTGAATCCTACAGATTTACAGACTTTCTCCAAAACATTCGCAACTTAGTATTTCGGGGTATAAGATTTTGAACTGGGTGATTTGAAGAAATGCGACTAGCCAATCAGCGCAAAGCTGACAAGCTTATGTTGTAAACATAACCCCCCGACGGGAGGAATTGCACAGCAAAACTCGACCCAGTGGAGTAGGCTGCCTGCCATTTTATTCTATCCGAAAAATCAAATCTAAAACGCAAAGAGAAATTCAAAATCTTTATAAAATAGCTTTTATTAAGTGTCAATCAAATATTTATCGTTATAGAAATAGAATTTTATCTTAAAATGAAATAACATATTATTTTTTCTTTAATACCACGAGACTCCCCTCCCTGATAAAAATAATTGGTCTGTGTTCTACGYGGGTTCTCCATTACATGCGAAGCAATGGCCGACTTCACGAAGACTTCAGAAGGTCGTTGAAGCGAAGTTCAAGTCCAAAGTATCTTAGGAGGAACCATTGCACATCCTTTTTCTTAGCTCTTGTTTCCTCTAAGCTTTGAGGTATCTACAACATCACTGAAAGAGCTAGAGCAGYTTAGCTCCACGTATTCCGATAGAGTTAAAGCGCTTGTTATTTTTGGTAGTAACAACAGTCGTAGTTCATCCTTTGTCGCATTTTCGGCAATAAGCCGCAAGCATGCTCGACGATACAACAGGTTGACGTTATGTAACAGGTCGGTTACACATTTACTAGCTTTGACCTTACAACGAGAGCTAGAACGGTGACTCGGATTTTTCGTGTAATGTCTTGATAACGACTGTTTATGTTGCGAAACCAATCAAAACTAAATTCCCTTCTGAGAAAAACACTTGTGTATTTAAGGTTACTCCCAACTAATAATTAACGGCGAGTGAAATTTGTCTTTTTTTTAAATCGCTCGCTTCGCATCAAAAATAATCGTATAGTTCTGATTTTCACATATGTAATAGTTGAATCCTTAAACCTTCTGGTGGTGTATCTAAGGTTTTAATCTTTTATCTATGGCTTTTTTCCGGCCTCAAAGATATGGAAAGGAAAAGAAGTTTAAGACCACTGTTTG